TATATCTTAAATGCTGGTGTACATTATTTTTATTTCTAATGCAGAATAAAATAACACATAATTTAGGTCCTTCTCTCTTTCATGCATTTAAGTTCCTCTGACAAGTCCTACAAAGTTCCTTTCAGTTTTACTGACATTGGCAGAAAGATGAAGAAAAATATTAAATGTAAGGTGCTGATAGATTTGGTCTTAGAAGTAAAAAGAAACAAATAGAAGTGATATTTGGAGGATGCTAAAATTTTATCAGTTCAAATTGGCAATGCTGGAGTCTTCTACTCCAAAAATAAATTCCTTGACTTCATAGTATAATTTCATTTTAATGTAAATACTTTTTCTAAGGAAAGGCAAATTTTCAGAAAGATTTTAGCATTTTTTACATTGATGGCATATTATTTCCAGAAGCATAGCAAATACTTTAAGTTAAAGTAAGTGAATACAGCATGCAGTATGTGCACTGCATAGATATGGCTATTGCCTAAATGCTGTCCTGTCTGGTTAGAATTTAGTTTTAAAAAATGTGTGTTAAATTCTATATAATGAGTATAGTGAGAAATACTGTCTGTGATCCCATTTACATGTTATAAAAACCTTACAGCTCATCTTAGAGCATATGGATATCTTTATATATAAAGTAGTTAACAGCATAGCAGGGAAAATGTATAGTTCAAGCAGGAAAGTGTAATGGTGCTGCCAACTTTCCAATTGCTTTATGGAAAATAAACAAGCAAAATAATGTACATGCCCAATTTGTATTCACTTAGACTAGAAGTTAGGTATTATTTCTGCATTTTGGCTGATTAAAACCAATAAAATTCCTGCTCATTCAACATGGCTGAGTCCAAAATTAATGAATACATTGCATATCACTGCCATAGTTAAAGCAAAATGAGGGCTTCCTTCATGCAAGAAAATAATTAACAGCAATGTAGCCAATCACCAGCTGAAGTTTTGAAACTGTAAATCTGATGAGACTTTTGGACCAACAGCATTAGAGTTGTAAAAGTAATATATCCTTTGAAATGAATATACACTGTGTCATTTTTCTGTGTTACACTTAGATGAGCAGCATCACTGAGTCTCACTTGATCTTTAGAAAACTTACTGCCATGAACTTAGGAAAAGGAGTACTGACTGAAAAGGTTGATGCCCTGATTCTTAAAAAATTATGTGAAATGGTATTTTTTTACTAAGAATCTTTGTTAATGATCTCAGAATATGCTATCTCAACTGAAAGTTATTAATCTTGATTTTAAATAATTTTACTGAAAAAAAAAAGCAAGTTGAACCTTTATTTCTTGGGCAGAATACAATCCCACATTATTAAGTAACATTAAGGACTCTGTGTCTTCAAAAAAGAATCCAGAGATACTACACGGGATGCCTGTGGCAGAAAATGGGCAAATCCAAGCCCTCCATCCAAAGCACTGCAATAAACTCATATTCCAGCAAAAGTCTATTGCCAAAAAATCTATTGCATGTCATGGTTTTTTTGGAAGCTTTTGGACTTCCCAGTCCCAGAAGAAACCAAATGTACTTATGGCTTTACCCTACATGGGAGACCAACAAGTGTGGAGAAATCAGAAGGCCTCTCTGCAATCCAGGGGGCCTTCATGCTGCCTTCTGCCATCGTACTTCAGCTTAAAGGGGACAAGGACACAAACACAAAGAAGGAAGCTGAAGAAGAGGAGGGTTCCTCTTTATTCCTGCCTTTTCTTCCCCAGACCTCTGTGTCTGGGCTGCAGTGGGGCTTGCTACCCACCCAGTCTTTGTGCTTCAGCCTCATCACAGCCTGGTGACTCCCCATAAAGAGGTCACTTTTTCTGTTTGTCCCTCAGGCTTTGTCTCTCACACATATCTGAGGTATATTGGTGCTCTCCTCTCTGAGTGGAAATAAATCCCTCTTGTAATCTCTTCCCAAGCATTCACTTTCCAGTTTGAGTGTTTACTCACTTCTTTTCTTGGGTCCCTGACAGCCATAAACCAAGTTCAACGCCCTGCTTTTTGTGTAAGCTGATCTATTTACAAACACATTCTCTCACATGAGGGAAAGAGTCATAGTAACTCATAAACATAAAAGCTGCTTTTGGAATTAATTGGTTTGTCATTGTTTATATTTGTAATGTCTTTTACTGTTAGACAGCATCCTATGTCAGTCTTTCTTTTAGAGTGCTGAAGCAAACTGTCCCATGTCCTTGCCCGTTTGTAAAATCTTGTGAAAAGGACCTGTGACATCATCAAGTCCAACCAGACTGGTCACCACCTTGTTGACTAGACCATGGACAACATAGACCACATAGACCAAGTGCTATGCCTGGATGCTTCTTGACCAGCATAGTTCAAAGCTGAATTATTTCAGGCAAATCTCTGTCTGTGGGAATGAGAATGAGTGTATATGTGTGGTCATTGTAACTATTAAGCCCTCTCAGTGTCTTGGAGGACAAATGACACAGCCAGAGATAGACAAGAGTCATGCTTCTGATCAGCAGCAGGCAGGCTGTCTGAGGAATTCTGTCATAAATGAGTCAGATACAGTGTTCTTTTGGTATTTGAACAGTGGTATTATCAACTTATTGATCTTTTTATGAGTTAAAAGAATATGCATTGAGATGCTGATACCTGAACATTATACAGGTAAAAGTTTTATTATTGTCTTTTATTACAAAAATAATATTTTATGGATCTTTACATTGCTCGGAAAACATCAGATGATTGATCTAGGTCGTATACTACAATTTTCTTAGCTATTCCACTATGAAGCCTTTTCTTCTCTCTGTTGTTTAAACTGTTTAGACTTGGCAAGCTGGCTGATATTCAGTGCTGCTTTTTTTTTCCAAATTCACTTAGAGACACCTGAACCTAGACCTCTTGTGTTAAATTTCCACAACTGCTGTAAACAATCTTTGTAGATAGCCAAGGGTGATCACAGTTGCAAGTGTATGGGAAGCTTATTCCAAAGGCAAAAATGGAAAGGAATAAGGCTCTGTCCTAGAGTCAATGAGTCAAGATGAGTTTCTTACCATAGAGCTTTCTGAGAATCTGTTCAAAGTCACTGAGGAGATGCCAGAAGTAGGATTTTAAATTTGTATGGCAAAATACAAACTAATTCTGTTGTAAAGAAAACCCTGTGAGTTTTGTAAGTACAAAACACGTATATATTTTCAATAATGGTGAAAATGAAGCATATTATGTTTTTCTCCAGTATTTGTGAATAATTTCAAAATTGGTTCCATTATTTACCAATAGTGAATATTTGTAAAGTACTCCAAGATCATTATTTGTGCACAGTTCATTTTAGTATTCACCATTTGTGGCTGAGCAATTTGATGCTTACCAATTAGGGGAATCTAATTTTATTAGTTTTAAAAATTGCTTTGCTCAGCCAGAGCTCAGCTAGTATGACCTTTTTAATTGGAGAATAATGGAGAATAAGTTACGGCTGGTGCTTAATGCCACTTTTTAATTACTGAATAAAATGTAAGGATATGTAAATGTCATTCTAATTGAAAATCAATCACTGAAATATTTTTAAATGCCAAATAATATGATCTTTGAACACCAATGAGCAAATTAATTTATTCAGAAATATTACACATCTCCATTATTGTGGAGATGATTATAATACTAATCTGCACTTATAAACTGATATTACTCCTAGCCATTTCAAAATCCTTTTTAAAATGTCATAACTGTAACTCAAAAATGCTTATTTTAGTATAAGTAAATTTTTTTATTAATACTGGAGTGAGGAAACCTTTACAATCATCCAGAAGTTTTAGACTATACTAAAATTTTTAGAAAACCAATTCAAATGGCAGTTTGCATTTTAAGCAAGTTTTCTTAATGCTTTCAGTCTCCTCTAGGGAATTCTTGCATGTAAAGGATTTCTGTTTGTTTTGTTTGTTTTGTTTTTTTTTAATTAAAAAAAACTATCCAGATACAAAACTTCTGTGCAAACAAATGTCTCAGCATGAGAAAACATTGAGATTTATGATATATCAATGACAGTGAAGTAATGCTTCCTTGGAAGAAACAAAAAAAAAAAAATCCAAATTTCATAAGGCACAAGGGTGTAATCTCAAAACTGGCTGGTAAGATGTGGCAAGGAAAGCCTGTAGACAGGATCTGATCTCTACTTCTGCTGAAGGCAATGGGCTTTTTTGCTATTATGGCTGTCAACAGTGAATGTCATCAGGCTGCTCCACGTTATAGCAAATCTCATTCATGTCTTTCCAGAATCTGTCACATATCTAAGTTAGTGAGCCTTAAAAATGCCTGGAAAGAGTTAACTGACTTTTTACTGTAAAGCTTATTCACAAGTTTCACCAGAACTTCTGAGTTTTGTTAATAAAACAAAATTTTTTCCTTTCTAATCTGAAAGCTTATCATGGAATTGGTGAATAGACAGCAGTGTCTGGCAGATATCAATGCTAACCAAGATGTGATAGCTATTAGGTCTTACTATGACATTGCATTAACTAACTTTAGCATAGGGCTGTGCCAGCATGTCACCAGACCCAAATTAAAAAGTGTTGTAAAATAGAAAGATTCTCTACAAAGTTTAAATCAGATGGAGAAGTCAAGCAGGTGGAGCACTTTTCTATAATTAGATTGTGATGACTGAACATTTAGGCACTGTTGCCTGCACATTTGCTGGAAGTGACATCAGAAGTCATTAATAGTTCAGGTCTAAGCAGTTTAGAGTAGTCAGATCTGGTTTTGTGTGTTCTGTGTTGCATTTTGCAAGGGTTGGTTTTCAAGAATATATTCATTTTGTAGAAGAGGGACTTGAATATAAAAATCCTTCAGTTAATGTCTAGCTGGCAGATGGGACACTGATTTACAGTCAAAAGTTTTGACCATTTTCAAACAGTAATATAAAGCAGCACCAGTGCTGTCAGCTGAGTGTCTTCCCAGCCAAAAATACCTGCATAAAACATTATTTTAATATGATAATTTACAGTGATGGCTGTCCTCTCAAAGATCATACCTTTTTTTTTCAGTCTAAAACATATATGTGCAGTTGGCAAGGGGATACCCTGTGTTTCACAGTCGACTTTGCTCTAGGATTTACCTGTTTTGACAGTAAAACAAAGGTAAGAGTAAAATAAAAGGAAAATATAACTCTGAATTGTTTTATAGTTATTGAAGTTATCCTCCATTGCATTTTCTTTATGTTTATGTCCAGTATTTATTCCTCCAATATACTGTACTATTTATTTACTTACCCCTACTGAAATGTAGTCAGTTTGGGACTTCAAAGGGGTGATTTTAGTTGTATAGCATGTAAAGATGCATTTTGAAGAAAGAAATAAAAAAAATATCTTCCTTTTCAAGTAACAAAAGGAAAGGAAAATTATATTTAGCAGAGAACTTGGTTTATTGAAGAAACTTAAAGATTTATAAAAGATTACAAGTCATGAAAAAAATGAAATGTCACCTGATTCTATTTGTTTTGAAGCTACAAACATAAAATAGGATTAATTATTCTTCCATCATAAGAAATTTAGGTCATGTCTAAAATAAACAGAATAAGGGCAAATGTTTTTCAAAGTGAGAATCTAAAAGATTACATGCGCTTGTCTTACAAAAGAGTGGCTATATCGAAAGTGCCTACAGAGAATGGTTAATGTACATGCCATCTTCCAAGACCTGTCTATAATGCTACTACTTTCTGTATAACTTAGTGGTACTTTAATGTATATTGTTCTAAGTGGATTTGAACTTTTTTTTGATAGTAGAAGAAAACAGATATACAAAAAATGTTTCTGCATTAAGAGAAATGTTCAGAAGAAACTCGGTCTTCTCAAATATTTTTTAAAAATTCAGTCAGTCATTCTGAGAAAAGAGGGAACACACTGCATTTTGAAATACTCATGCAGGATCTAGTTTTTGCATGTTGGCATTTTGTGGGTTTGGGACCAAAATGCCCCCAAATTTCAAATCTATCAAAATCTTACTGCAGAGAAATAATGACCAAAATTGCATGAAAATTTAGACTAATTAAGTGTACATCCCATGCAGCAGGATAAAATTTCAGAACATACTTTAGTATACACTTTTCTCCCTCAGGTGATACTGCATTCTGGAATCCTGCTCTTGCACAATTATACACATTTTGCATGTAACCACAAATTAACTGTAAGAAGTAAGCTCTCTAATGTATAGAAAGGGTTTCTTTTAAATGTGAAGAATGATTGCACGTACTCTCACCTTTAAAATTATAACCTTACTCTATTAATAGGACTTTGTGTCACAGTACCTACCTTCAGTATTGATGATGAGGAAGATTTAGATGAATTATTGTTGCTTACCTAAGGAGAAACACAGAATACCAGCAGATAGACCAATTCCATTGCAAAACAGTAAAAATTCTGGAGAGCTCAAGTACATTTATTCTTCATCTGTGTGAGAGATGGAGATGTTCTCTGCATCCTTAAGCCTGTGAGGCAGTAATGGGTGATTTCTGCAGTTCATCTTGCTTCCCATAATTGTCAGCTGAAGTTTACTGTGTTTTCCCATATGCATAACTATTTTAGAATATTTCCTACCAATGCAAAAAAGATTCTTAAAGTGGTCAAGCAATTAACAGTTCATTAGGGACACAGAAATTTTACTGAAGAATCTCTCTTTTTCTTAAATTTAATGAAAAAAATAAGGTCTTCTATTGATGTAAAGAATGCTCCTACACCCCAGCCTATGTTCAAAGAGGATTATTAAAATAAAGGCTAGTCCCCAGTCTACTCTATGATTCTAAATCTGGATCTCAAATTTTGGACAACCAGTTCATGTAGTCATTGAAAAGCAGTCTTTTTTACACTTTGAAAAACAATTTTAAAAGGCCCCTATTATTACAAATTCTGAAATGAAAAGCACAACAATTTTTTGCTTTGGAGCATGGGAGATTGACCCTGGCTCCCTCATGAGTCAGGCAAATGAGAGGAAATACAACTAAAGGCTTGTGGGTCCAGATGAAGGCAGGGAGATGTCACTCACCAGTGACCATCGTGGGCAAAACAGACTCCACTTGGGCAAATCAGTTTAATTTATTGCCAGCCAAATCAGAGTATGATAATGAGAAATAAAAACCAGATCTTAAGACACCTTCCCCCCCACACTTCTTTGCTTCCCAAATTTCTTTATCTCCTCCTCTCCAGCAGCACAGGTGGGTTGAAAATGGGGGCTGTAGTCAGTTCACCCCATGTTGTCTCTGTCCTTCCTTCCTCCTCAGAAGGAGAACTTCTCACACTCTTCTCCTGCTCCAGCATTGAGTCCCTTTCACAGGAGACACCCCTCCAGAATCCAGCATAAGTCCTTCCCATGAGCTGCAGCTCTTCATGAACTGCTCCAGTGTGGGTCCTGCAGGAACAGCACCTCCTCCCCCTTCTTCCCTGACCATGGTGTCTGCAGGGCTTTTTCTCTCCCATATTCTCATTCATTTCTCCAGAACAAGAAAAATACCTTTAAAGAACTTTTCTAGAAGAGTTTCTTTTCCTGCATATTCTATTCCAGGCTCTTGATGGGCTTAATTCATTCAGCTTTTGTCTTTTTTGGGCTCATCACTGAGCTACTTCTGTAGCCTGCCTCTGCTTTTTATCTCATTGAAGAGATTCTTTTTATCTTGTCAGCTTGGTTGGTTCACCTTCCCCATCCTGTGCCTCCAGCCTCTCCTCCAATATGAAGGGATCCCAAAGTGTGCATCTATTTTCTGCCATCTTCCAGCTCTCTCTGCTTCTCTTCTTCCCCACTTGGTGTCAACTGTTGAGAGAGATGATGACTCCAGCAATGCTTATTATTACTAAATTTTTCCTAAGTTCTTGATTCGTCTCCACCTTAGCAGTTATTACATAGCAAACATTCATCTATCCTGTTTAGAGCCAAACTCATTTAAGCTTTTAACACTTTTCAGGTGCTATAATTAGGCCCTCTGGACCCAGTTAAAATCTCTTCATGAATGTAAAGTTTAGGCACCATCACAGTGCTGTAGCATACTTCAGTTTTTCTTCATCTGTTATATCTCTCTAAGAACTCAGTGACATTTATGTCTACAAGGAAGCAGGAGATAGGTTTTTTGTTTTGGACATTCCATTTTAAACTGTGAATAGGGTTCTAAAGCCCACTGGTAGCACTGGTCTATGTAACAAAAATATTTTGAGAAGCGGCATGTTGGAAAATGGAACAGAGTAAACTTTTTTCCATGTATGCTTTTGAAATAAGCTCCCAAGTATTTAAATTGTGTTTCTTCAGCAGCATCCAGGAACTGAAGCACACTTCAACATGTGCAGAGAATTTTCATTAAGATTATAAGTATTAAAGGAAACATCAACAGAAAGTCCAGGTGCAAGTTGGTTACCTTGTGGTGTTTTCTTTAATTATGCATTTTCGGGGGATGAATAGAAAACATTCAGATAAATACAGAAAATAACCTTGATTTCAGAAATGATTTCCCAATTTTTGTTTTTACAAAATATCTCCATAAATATTAAAGCATATCTGTCAATCTAGATTTTGCCAGCACTACTAAGATGCCATGGATAAACCTGTGGGAGACCAAGAAGCTTAGAAGTCGTATATTTTACAAAGCATTATGTAATGTAGGACACATTTTTGTGGTTTCTGAGACTATGTTCAATGATAATATTTTTGCATTTCTATAGCTTTTTTGAGAACTTCAAACCACATTTCACACATCAGTAAGTTCAGCTTTGCAATATCTGTGTAAGTCACAATTATCTACGTTATGCAAATGAGCCAACTGAAATTAAAAAAATCAACATATGGCATGGAATTGTATTCCTAAAGAAACTGATACAAATGTCCTCATGGATCTTTATGGAATTAAGCTTTTGCCAACTTTATGTGATGTAGGCAATTGAAACATTTATATCTCAGAGAATTTCAAAATAGTTTAATTAATGAATTTTAATATTGCATATTTTGCTTTCACAAAGGGTACAGAAGTGTTAATTTTAACTGCTCTGCAAAGAGCCTGTTATCATGTACCACATTACTGCTGTAGTGCTTTAATTTTGTACACGAATATTGATCATCCTTCTATAGTTCTAGGTAAAAACATGTAGCAGAGTCCTTAATCAAATTTCTTTTTCTTTAGAATGTGCTGTGGAGGTTTAAATTCTCTCAGCTTAAAGGCTCATCAGATGATGGGAAAACAAGAGTAAAGCTGCTTTTTCAAAATACAGACACCAAACAAATTGAGACAAAGGTAAGCAACATCCTCTTTTTCAATTTAGCTAAAGATGACATAAAATTACTGTCAAAGCATCAGAAATCCCATTTACTGGGACATAGATATGGTGAACACATCACAGCTTATCTTTTTTTGCCAATTCTTTAGAAACTCCACAATAAATGGAAGCAATGTAATACCCATAGATTTATTGCACTATTTCTACAAGCCAGTTATTACGTTGTGTTATGATAGTATTTTACTTTTTCAGAAAGATAGTTTATCTCAAGTTATTCTGTCAACCTATGGTAGATATAATGTCTAAAAATTGTGTTTATAAAAGATAATGTAAAAATAAAATTTGATCCCCACCTTGCTGTTGAATAAAAAAGACATTTTTTCAGTTATGTGGTTTTAAAAAGAACGAGAACTTTGGCATGATATGACATAGAAAAGGAAGATGAGACTGTGGTTCAACTAGCTTTTGGTGGACAAAAGCCAGTGAAATAAGAAAAAAGTATCTGAAGCCCTATGAACCTTTCCAAATACTCTTACCTGGAGTTGTACAGGTTAAAGTCATTTATAAAGTAATATTTTTTTATACTGACCATGCACAAAAGATATATGTTACCTATCCTAATGTTTAGAAAAATTGTAAGGAAGAAGTCCATAACCTTCCTTATTTTTCACAAAATTACAGTGCATGCAGTATATCTTTCTTTATACATCTGTATTAGTAAATTATTCAGGATTTCAAGCTTGACCTGAGTTGCCTTTTGGCTCTACTGTGAAAGATATTATAAGATCTGTTACAAAAGGTACAATACATAATAATTTATCCAGTAGCAGGTCATTTCCACTTCATTTCTCACAGTAGACCTTGGAGACAGAAAAGGACTACTGTCTTCATTTTGAATGTGATCATCTGTTGCTGAGAGCTTACATAACTTGTTTAAGGTCAGACAGGAAGATTGTACTCATGCATAAACTACTTTGTGTATCTCTGTGCATTAAATCTTTAGATAGCCCTTGTGTGTGATTAGCCAAGGGCTGCAATTCCATTGCTTGTGATGGAATTCTATTACTTTAATACTGTATAGTTGCTCTTTTTGTTGTAGCAAACAATCTGGTTTTTAAAATTTTATTTTCTTTTTATTTTTGTGCAAATTAACTTGCTTGTAATTGGTTTTACCCAACTTTACTCTTTGATAGAAAAATTGTGTTAGTATTTTTATGAAAATTTAGTTATCTGTAAAATTGTTATAAGTGAATCTTTATTATAATTTTGCTGTAAATTTTGTTCAAGAGACAGATTTGCTAAAACACTAAAAATTATTCTTTTACATAGCTCTAATGAAAACATCTTGTAGTTGGCAAAATTCACCTTCAAAGTATCAGATGGAAGTTGATATGGGATTAGTTCATACAGAATTCTTGATATCTGCATACCCAAAAGTACATATGTGTTGCAAGATCCCAGAAAAAGTTCATTAAAGGCCAGAGGAAAGGCTGATACAGAGTAGCTGAGGATTTATCAGAATTTCAATGATTACACCTTTTACAACCACCTCTGCAAAGTGCAATGTAGCCACTAGGATTTCACATTTAATGGGACTGGGACACAGCTGTGCAGCCTCTCCACTTCAGATAACTGGTATATATCATCAACTGTATGCCCACCACATAATTGGAATGAGTTCTTAGACTTGAGAGTTACAGGCTGGCTGGAAAATGCCCAGCACTAATACTCATAGTACAATCCAGTAGTTGCCTCTGCTTATTGCACTGAAAGAGATTTCATAGGGCCAGATGGTTCTATATGGTGAAATGCAGCCAGTAACAAGAAATAAAAATGTTATCAAATAATAGAAGTTTCATTTTTCCTGGGTAAATGAGCCACTGTGCACAAAAGAAGCTTGATGCAGATGACTTACATTCCCTTGGTGGAAAACAGAGAGTCAAGGTTGCAAAAGAATTTTCCAAACTATATTTAATTCTACATTATTATGAATTCTTGGGAGTAAAAAAAAATCACACTTGGGAATTCTATTTTTGTATCTTGTTTAGTAGCTAGATGTGATGTTTCTTCTCTTATTTTGGCTTCTAAATCTTAAGCCAAGTACTTCTTCCTGTGCACTTTAGTTTTAGGTGAACAGTACATTCCTCCATTTAAAAAGTTTTCTGTTGAAAGAAGATAATAAGGAAAAGATTCCTGTCAGTTTTTTCTCTTTCAGGTTCTTCATATTCCCTACAACTTCTTATAGTTTCCCACTTCAGTACTTCCCTGAACTTACCCTGCCTTTAGTATTGAAAAATACAAGTAATCTTAGTAATAGTAGATATTCTTTACCCAAAATGGCAAGGTTTCTCATAAAAAAGAAAAAAAACCTAAGATCAACACATCCATGTTTGTACTGATGCTTTATTTGCCTTCGCTAAACTGTAGCTATATATCTGAAAAATAAGACTTTTTAAAGACTTTTTTAAGTCTTTAAGTCTTAAGACTTTTTCAAGCCTATTTGAATTGAGCATTTCCCTTTTCTTTTCATCTTACTTAGTCTTAAATATCTGTTGAAGAAAGATAAGAAACCACTGTGGTCAATAGAGTGTTGTGATCCATACTGAAGTCTCAGCTAGATGTTGCTGGTCTTATAAATTTCTTGTCTATTATGAGAAGATAATTTAAGAACCCTGCATATTGTTTTGATCCATGATATGGCAACCAAGCCCTGCTGTATTTGCTGAGATATAGAATCAAATTTAGAATTCTGGTTTCCATTTTGACTTTGATGTTGTCTGCAGCTAAAACATTAATATCTTTATTTGGGCTTTTAATCTGAAAAAAAAAAACCCAACCCAAACCACACCAAACCAACAAACAAAGAAACAAACAAACAACAACAACAAAACCCCACAACAACTAAAAAAAAAAATCAGTCTGATCAGAAAACATATCTTGAACAATACAGTGGTAACAGTTCTGCTCTGGTCGACAAGTAACAAACACTGAGACTTACCAGTGTCCCTAAAGTCATGAAATGCACAGGGCACAACACTATCTGTCAGCATCTCCATTATTTGCCTTTCATGTGATACAGGCTCATGTCTTGTTCAAACAGCGATTCAACAGCTCTCAGAAGTTCTCAGTAAAATTGCATGCATGGTAATAATGCAGCAGACCTGTCAAGCTTTTATGACGTGTAATAAATCCAACTCTCCTAGTGGGTGGATGAAATAAGAACATATATTTTTCTTCCTTGGCTGTGCACATGCAGTGAAGGAGGTCAGTGCATTGTGCTCATTTTTTGTATTTTCAGTACCAGCAGGAAATTTTGCAGTCTTGTCCTCCCACTGATTTAATCCAATCTTTTGTATTCTTCTCCCAGTGTCTTCCTTCCAGTGCCTTTGTTGTACTTAATCTACTTATTATGGTACATACAGTAAACTGAAAGAGCTTTGGTTATTGAAATATTAGACATGCACAGATTCTCCTTAAAAACTGACAATCTCAATTAAAGAAAAAAGCAGCAAACTCAGATAAGGAAAGCAAACATAAGGGTGCTGTTAGATGGTAAAGCACAAATAAAATGATCAGTTACTCATCTGCCTGACTGACTACAGAGACTTTAAAAAAATGAACTATCAGAGCAATGTATTTGTTTGAAAGAAGTGTCTTTGGTGTTATTTTCTAGGAAGAATTCATATTGCATTTCAAAGCTAAAGAGGCTGTATTTCCATCTATAAAACTATATTCAAGATAGCAAGAGACATATTGTGTCCCAGTCTTCAGACTATGCAACAGCTGCATTTTCCCAAGTCAGAAAGACATCCTTATCTTTTACTAAATCCATATTTTCAAATTAACCCCCTCTTCCCCCTTCCCTCTTGTAATCAACATGTAAGCAAATCCTTACCCCAGCTTATCCTTAGGTATGTGTGACTATTCCTCATTATCTACACCTGACTAGCAGGCTGCAGGATTGCAAAGGCATCCAGAACAGGCATCGAACATCCTTCAGACACAAAGCTCCACAGCCTTACCCCATTAGTGGACTTCTTGATCAAATACTACTGTTATAAGCTGCATTTCTAGAAGCTTCTGGTGCATGAGGCCTCAGATGAGCCCCACCTTTCTGATGCCACCATGGGTGGCCACATCTAACCGAGGCTTGTAAGATAACATCTCCAGAGCTCTGCTCCTGTTTCATGATCCCGGAGGATTGCTCATCCCTGCACAAACCTAACATAAAATAGTGAAGATGTGAGAGACAAGAGGTGTGGAAGAGCTGCTAAACTGCATGAGGAGTGCTTATATGCCACACATTTTGCTTTTCAGCTCTGTAATAACTTTCAAAATTGGCACCACTCTTGAAAATAATCCAAAAATGGGGAACTTGCAGTTTTAACTGCAGTAAATAGTGTTGTTGTCACATAAAACATAGATTTAGTGTTACTGCTGGTCTTCCACCTCTAAGTAGATTGTATCTTCCAGAAACAAGAGCATATTAGTATTCAAAAGGTTATTCACAAGAGATTAGACAACTTCTCTCAGATACAGAGGAGGGGCTACTGCAGTTTGATCCATGCTCTGAACTGTGATGGAAACAGAGAGGTCTCTGCAGTTGGAACATTGGGAAAAACTGACTCACAGTGATGAGATGTTCCTGTCTTTGCCCTTTACTAAACCCAAAGCTCTCCAAATAATGTTGTTAGAACAGTCTGAAATCCTGTTCACAGTCTGTGTTAGGTTCCCTCTGCTTATCTCTATAAACATTTATCAATTGGAAGTGCATAAAGCTGGAGAAGAGAAATAGGAACTCTGGGAAGGGCTCCCTTCTCTCAGTCTGTTTGGCTGTGTTTTGTCAGTGTGTTGAATATCAGAACCTAAGGTGAAATTGTTGGGTGATTTCAGTTGATTTTGGAGCAAATCTAAGATTCATGGGAATAGTCATATTTTTTAATTCCATGGTTTTGAAGAAGGAATTTCAGTAGATGTAAAACATTTGATTGAGCCAAAACTTATATATTGAGGCCTATGTTTCATATTTTATATTTCATTACTAATCATAATTGTGTATATAACTTTAGTTTTCTTAAACTTAGATAAGGAGATTTAAATAGCGCCATTGTAGGGGTTTTTTTCCTGGAAGTGTTTATATTATTTTATATAATATTTAAAGTCAACATCTGCTGTCAATAAAATGTATTTTAAGAAACCTCCTCCCATATTTGCTCCTCAAATGTCAGTTAAAATGGAAAAAACAGGAGCTTTTTCCCCCCAAAATTTAGGACAAAGATGTCATGGACGCAATTACACTCACACTTTCCTCTGCTCCACTATGGCTTCTCCATCAGTTTCAATCCCTTTAGGGGTTTTACCTGCTCTGCCATGGAGCACCCTCTACTTCACTGGCCTTGTTACTTTTTTGGGGAATTTTCTGCTGTTTCTTACCTACGTTTACCTGATGCAGCCCTGTCTCACTGTCGGGCTGAGCCATGCCTGGTGGTTGGACCTGGCTAGAACCTGCTGTATCTGGCACAGGGCAGCCCTGGTCTCTCCTTCAAGAGGTTGTGCATGCAGGTCCTTCCACTCCCAAAAATTTCCCAGTTGTGCCCCAAACAGGGTCACGAAATCATGCCCCACAAATACTACTGAACAATTCATTAGTAGGACCACTTGTGCCGAGTAAATACTTGGCCTTGGACAGCAAAATGGTGTGATGGTGAGCTTTTCTGGGACAGTAAGTTTGAATTCCAAATATTCTGTTTGGGCCAATTTTGTTCAGAACATACTGTAAAATTCTGTTACAGAAAAAGCAGAAGTCCAGTGCTTTGCTTATTGCTCAAAAACAAGCATAGAGAGTGTGCCTCAACAAACTAGTTAGCCAACAGATTGTTGGAAATAGTCTTCTGCTCAAACCAAAAATTGTCTCAAGGATCCCCACAATATATTTACCAACTGCAGACTTCACACATAGTGGTATCACTTAAATTGAATGTGTTTTTTACATTATATTTGTTTTTTCTGTCATTGTGTCAGACTATCTTCTGTTACTGTATGAGTTCATAGGGAAAAATAAGTTAATTTGTGCACAGAAGATGAAATATGTTGTAAAAAGTCAAGCGAATCTGAGAACTGTTTAGGCATAATTCTGCCTTTCTTTGTGAATCAGGGCATCTGAATTTCATACCTGCCATGTTTGTTTCTATCATTAGGGTGTGGTGTGACTTCACCTTACCTTTCACCCTGCCTTTGGCTTCTCATCTCTCCTTCAGAAGCTGACAAAAGATGTGATCCCCTCAACCTACCCTTCTTGATACCTCATGACTCTCAAACAGCCTTAACTTGTCAAATACTTTAATAATGCTCAACAAGGCTGAATGCCAAGTCCAGGCAGTGCTGCAGGCTGAGGGCAGAGTGGCTAGAAAGGTGCCTGGTGGGGAAGGACATGGGGAAAGGGTGCCTGGGGGGAAAGGGGATGCTGGCTGACAGCAGCTGCACATGAACCATTGTGCTCAGGTGGCCAAGAAGGCCAATGACATCCTGGCCTGGATCAGCAATAGCATGGCCAGCAGGAGCAGGGCAGGGATTGTCCCCCTGTACTCAGCACTGGTGAGGCCACACCTGGAGTCCTGTGTCCAGTTCTGGGTCCTTCAATTTAAGAAAGGTAATGGAGCTGGTGACGGATTGGATGGGCATGACATTTGAGGAATGGATGAAGGAGCTGGGGATTTTTAGCTTGAAGAAAAGGAGTCTCAGGAAAGGTCTTACCACTCTCTATAACTGCCTGAAACAAGTTACAAGGGATAAGATGAAAGGAAATGGGCTTAGCTTGTGCCAGGGGAAGTTTAGACTGGATATTAGGAAAAAAATTCTTCACCAAAAAGGTTGTCAAGCATTGGAACAGGCTATGTAGGGAAGTGGTTGAGTCACCATCCCAGGAAATATGTCAGGTGTAGAAGTGGTATTTAGTGGCATGGTTTACTGGTAGACTTGGTAGTCCTGGGTTAATTGTTGGACTCAGTGATCTTCAAGGTGTTTCCCAACCTGAATTATTCTATGCTGCAATATTTGAATATTCTTTCAAGTTGACTGATTTCATTGTACAAGCTGAGTACAATGTAAACAATAAAGTATCACAGAGTGAAAACTAAATTGACACACAGCACTGTCAGTGAACAAGGTATGGATATACAGATTTTATTCTTAACAATTTTAATTTTACAGTTTCCTATAAAAATGCAATTTTCATGTTAAGGCCATTATTGTTTTCTAACTAGTCTACTCTTTATTCTTTATTCATATAAAATGTTTATAAACCTGAATTGAATTGATTTTTTTTCTTTTTTTTCTCTTACTTCTTTCAGGAACTTGAATTTCAGGATCTGACGGCAGTTTTACACTGTATTCACTCCTTTATAGCAGCAAAAGTGGCATCTGTGGATCCTGTATTCATAGACAGTCAGAGTATTGCAAGAAAATATATGTACAGTAACTGATACTAGATTATATGTTGTGACTATGGAAAATAAATTATTTTCTTAACAAAAGTAGTTATTTCATTCACGATATTGCAACTTGGTGATTTTATAAAAAGGCTCTAGTTGTGTTATCTGTAATGTTAAGAGTTTTCACAATCTGATAAATATTTTGAATCTATGAGTTAAAAATATGAGTTGAATCTATGAGTTAAAAATACTAAGTCAAAGTTTGTTATCTTCACCATTGATCTAAAATTCCAAATGAATATTTGTAGAGTCATTTTGATTTCTGCTCTTACGATGATACATTCTACCCCTTATTACATAATAATTTGGAATAACATTTGAAAAGTGTACGTCCAAAATTTGGCCTCTAAGTCTGTTTTGAAAAGTGTTGGGCGTACAGACAATTACTACAGTATTCACTGTAGAAAAGTAATTATTGAAGACAACTGTTGTAGGAATCAAACTTTCATATTCCTTCCATATCCTTGAAAAATTGTAGTTCTGTGACTGGGCTCTTTCAAGGTCAGAGAGTTTAGCTCTTGCAAAACACTGAATACTCTATTTCAGATCTAGGAACATAGCTAAGCACACTCTTGGCTCTAAGAATACTCAGCAGCCCCAGTATTTGCAAGGTAATGTCAAGAGTGTATTTGAGTATCAGCTGTGAAGAGCTTTAGACGCAGCTAAGCAGCCTGACTATAGACACTCAGTTTTAAGAAACTTGCCATAGGGTTTTCTTATCTTTCAATAAAGCTTTTATGACTCATTCATTTATTCATTAATAGATTGACTTGACACCTATCCTTTGATGTAATGCTCTGTATGCTTGGGAACAGCTTTTATTTGGAGAAACATGCTTCCAAGATAAGATGAACATAACAAAACATAAATATTTTTCTGGGACATCTGCCTTTTTTTTTCCTATAGCTTTAAACTTGACTCTTATTTGAGAAAAGTGGATTTTGTCCTTGCTGAGGAAAAAATATTGTGTTACTTTTGACATATGCCTAACTTTCCTTCTGAAATCATAATCTTAAATGAACAGATAATACATCCTGCAATTGAAAAAATTATTAAAAAAGAAGACATTTAACCTTAGGGCAAATTCCCTGTAAGTGATACCAGATGTTGCAGGTTTTTCTGATAGGAGTTTCTGTTTTTCTCACTTGTACTTTTGAGGCAGCATCAAGAAAATAAAACAATCAAAATTGAACAAGTAGAATATCTTAAGTAGAAGCCATGATAAGGAGTGAATTCATCAAAGTCCTCCCTAAATTTTAGGAGTCTTAGAAAGTGCCCTGATAAGGTTACAACCTGAAGTTACTGTAGTCTAACGAAAAGAGGTTGGTGCCTTTAAAAGGTCTCAAGTGAGGAGTGTTTTTACATAAACTCCGTGCTTAAGTTTAGTCAACTAAATTCTCTCCTTCAGGTCTGTCTTTTCAAACTGCAGTGGGGCACTTACTTCAAACAGATACTTCTCTGTCCACCTAAAGCTTGGGCACAAATAAAGTGCCTGATGCAGGTGATTTAATCCTGCAGGAGGATTACGTGTTTCTAAGTGTTATCCATAGAGAAATTAATTTGAATGGTGCAGACTCCGTTTGTAATTCCAGTGTTGTTTAGAGTTCCAGTGTTGTTTGCAGTGAGGCACACTAACTCCTGGTAAAGCAGTATTTAGCGAATGTGAGAAATATTTTTATTATTTTAAAATAAATCTTTATAGCCGTTATTGCATCTTTAACATACATAATCTCAATTTTATAATAATTTGATTTTAAGAAAATAATTTTAAAAGTTTACTTTTTTGAACATGCATTTATTGAAAATGTTTCAATTTAATTCTCCACTTTCTTTTTTATTTTCAGCTCATTGTATTTACTGAGGTTTTAACAGTCACAAATTACAGCATTAACATTATAATATCTTTCTTACAACCAATTCTCAATTCAGTTTATTAGCATGAATAATTAGAAGCATCACATTTTCTGTAGGATGAGGAATTATGGAATTAATTCAGTTTTGTTTTTCTAATATTTTCTCATAGACAAAGTTCAATATTAACATGTTAGCTATAGTAGAAATCTGTACCAGCTAGTTTTCAACTGGTACTACAGTCAGGCATCTAGACTTAATGTTTTAAGAATAATGTAATCATAAACTAGCATATCTCCCCAAATACTGTATTAAAACCTTAAAATAAATTAGGCCTAATTTATTAAATAATCTTTCATTTCCAAAATGTTCTGCTATTCAAAAAGAGCATTATTGTTTGTTTTTTTTCAAAACCACTGGATACTGCACTTTTCCATTAGCACTTTCAAATTTCTTATATGAAGTTGCTTATGCTGATTTTAATTAATTTTGTTATTGTTTAATGGAATTTCTAAATTCTTTTAGTCTTTTGATGAGCTACTGTTTTTGCAACACAGTAGTTTTCTTCTGCATGTTGAAATCAATCTCAAGGAATATTAGAGAAAAAATTCTTATAAATTCACCATCTGAAATTTAGCATTGTATTTTAGAAATAATTCTCCAAACATATTTTTAATGAGGAACTTGAAGATCAAGCTCAAGATTAGCTCAGTTGCTTTTTTCCTTTCTTTCACACTCTACAACACTCTCAAGGCAGGGACTAAAGGCCAATTTTTTGAGAAAGTTGCCAGAGGCTGGGAAAAGCTAATGGGTTGCTAGTTTTTTAGCTATTATATAGGCTGAGTAGGACTTCCATTGCACCTTGTATTTCTTAGTCATACACCTCATATTTGAAAATGTTGCATTCCAAATTTGTTCCATGGCCTATGTTTCTTTCTCAAAGCATATAAGTTCGTCATTGCCTTCAGAATGTGGATCATATATCATGCATATATTTTTCTCTGTCAATGTTTTGAGTATCTGCACCACATTTCAGCTGACAAAACACCTCAAAATAGGAAAATACTGGGATTCACAATTATATCTGCTGGTAGAAACCTTCCACCTTCCACAGTGAGCTGAGGCGGACGACACTTGCTTTAGGCATTTCAAATGTCAAATATTTAATTTCTAATGAGATCATAAAACAATTTTTTATGTTCTTTGTTACATTCTTGTGATATATTAAGCTTTAGTCTTACAATCTCATTATGTATTTGAGCATAGTTTTCCTTTATATTTTTCTAGGGTGACAAAGGTGTAGCAGAATTGAATATGGAGTAGGAAAAGGCAACCATTTATGGAGGCAGCACCATAAACAGCAGGCTCAGAAAGGAAGCATACAAACACAGTGTTATAAAATTGGGCCCCATCACAAAATCAAGATAGCTACTTTTGATTAGAAATGAGTAAAAACAGGACAGTCTCTCAATGTCCAAATTATCTTTATGCCTTTTCTTAAACTCAAGACTTGGTTAAAAGGCTAAAAATGATCCCATCTACAAAAGTGATTTTGAGCAAATGGGTAGTAGTGTTGATTTAAATTAGAACAAGGCTCATCAGTGACTTATAAATTAAGGAGTGGTAGAGCCTGGACTTAGGCACTGGACTTGAATCATACTGATGATTTGTTAATATAATTTCTGGAATTTTTTCCTCTAACATGATTAAAATCTGTTGAAAAAAATCCTATTTACAATCAAGCTAAAGTCAGCTCAGCCCTGTTCTCAGTGCATGGCATGATTGTGCTACCCTGTCGAAAACACCAGAGCATTTAATAGAGGGAACATGGCCAGAGTGTGCCAGATGGCCTCAGGGATAAAAAACAAGACTTGACAATTTTAGTTATAAATTTAGATGTTACCAGAGTATTTCACTGACTTAATCTGAGCTGTAATAATTTGTTTTATTTTTGCCTGTAATCATAAAGTCTGAGAGGCTGAGGCTGTGCTGATCCAAAGCTCAAGTTTTGGAAATCTGACTGAATTTTTCCAAGGTTAGGATCTTAGAAAAAGTATTTCAAAATTATTCTTAACCTTGAGCCAGTAGGCCTGAAGCTTAAAAAACAATTTTCTGTGGGAGGAAGACTAAGCTATGCCAAATTTTGAAACCTTTAATCTAAAATCCTGTGTTATATCTGAAATACATTAATTCGTAAGTAACTTCTGACAAAGGCATGCTTTTTCCACAAAACCTTTAATGTGTAATCTGATTTTTGCAGTGGCCTAAGCAGAATTTAAAATTGCCTGAATTTAGTTTTAAGTACATGTCTATAAATGCTTCTATCAAAATGCTGTCAGTATTTTGTAACACTTTCCTGCCCACCTGAGTATCTCCTCTGTTGCAGCGCTCAGTGAGGCGTGTCTAATGGCAATGCAATTTTTCTGCTTTTTGTTTACTTCTGTTGTTGATTTTCTTTTAATATAGTTTGCCTGTGTCCTCCAGTAAGCTTTTTCAGAGCAGAGAGAGTGAAAGTTAGGAAGGAAGCACTTTTCTCCATGCTCTCTTGAGAGGCAAAGTGGTGATTTCTGTCCCTCTTTCCTATGCATGAGAAATGGGAGAAAGCACTGAAAAAATGGAAGTAGGGGAGAAATAGACAGACAGACAGACTGTGAAATCTTAAAAAAACTTCTTCACTTAGGTATACAAAACACCTCTTGGAACTCATTTGACTTCATGAGGAAATTTATCTTTCAGTGTAGTTCTCTTACTCTGAATTGCTATTATTGAGCTATGGATGCTGAAGAGTTAAAGGCTCCAAAGAAAAAATGTAAAATATATTATGTAATTGTATTTTTTTAAACAATGCTTCAAAATGTTTAGGTACTTTTGTGTTGAAGCATGCAGACAAGCAATTATCTTATGTGAACTAAAGGCCTTGTAGTAAATTTACTAAATATTTGTGCAGCATGCAAGATGAATTCAAATATGCATTTTAATATGGTCCAACCGCAAAAAAACATCTTAAGTAAAATATTTTTATGAAATTTGAAGTTATCAAATTCCATGGACATGAGCCAAAATCCACTGCTGTTTTAAGTCCCAGTAAAGTATACAGGACTTTGCCTGAAGCAAAAATATGTGATTTTAAATAATAAACA